AATGTCGTATAGTTACCGGGTACTTGTTTTTTGCTTCTCGTCAATTATCACGATGAATTGTCATTACATCTGTTGTCTCTGTGAAGCAGCTTTTTTTAATAAAATGTAGACAATATGAAATAGTGGATATCACAATTGCTAATATGATAATATGAAGTTCTTACGAGGATACTGCAAAGTATGCATAAAAACCATGGGCGGATTTAGAGGGGGGCCGAGGGGGCCGCGCCCCCCCCCATTTTTAACAAACCAGCAGGTCTTCATGCCATCAGCGCTCGCGAACTTGGCCTTCGGCCAACTTATCGCCCCTCCCGATTTCAGAAATCCTAGATCCGCTTCTGAAGACAGTACAGTGAGAGTAACGGTATTGATGAATTCTGATAGTACTGAACACATAAAAACACATTTCATCATCTCATCTGTTACTTCCTGCTTTCATCATCATAGAAATTCTATTTATAGTCGGTACATGCTAGGTAATACCTAATATTTTACACACTCATACATCCTAGTGTGGTCAAGCTACTGTGTTTAACTTCCTGCTACGATGACATGCCATTCTGGTGGGTGTTTGTGCTTTATATATGTAGCATTTAGATTTATGAAATCTGTAATATGACTTAGTTTTTGCAACTGTTGTTTATAATTTTTACTTGCTTGTTAATTTTGTTAACAATATTGCGACTAAAATTAACTTTATACATGGTTTAACAGGTGATGATACTGTGCTGTATATTTCTGAGAAGGAAGGCAGTGATAGCGGTGATGGCACTCAAGATAAGCCATTTAAGACTGTCTTACAGGTGATACGTTGTTTATATATTTACTGTTTACACATTACCTGCAGAAAGCCTCTATGGACATACCAAAATCAATGGGACAAAAGGCGTCAATAGTCATTGCATGTGTTAATTTGAAATATTCTTAGTACCGGGGGTTGTACATCAGTGTTGAATTCTGGAATATTGTTCCCTTTCTATAGATGTCTGTTGTTGTAATATGACATCCTATGTTGCCATAGCTATTAGCATTTTGAATTGAATATTTGCCATAAGGATTTAGTTCAAAGATACAAGATAACATTTGTATCTTAGTTTGTGTTTATTTGTTGTGGTGTGTGTTATCGACCCATGTACATGTACATGTATATGTGTACCATATTTGCTCTATTGAAAACGCATCCCTAATAAAAGTGCATTTAACCCAAAATTGCATGTATTGTATACTGAATCATTAAAGTATGACTTATTTTGCCAATACAATAGAAACATTAATTAATAATTAATGTAAGCGCATGTGCTGTTAAAATTGTATCATTGGCAAAATTTTATTTAAAGTCTTTGACATGTCAAGTAATTTTTGCAATAGCTACAGTATTCCCGAGATATGCGCCTTGTCAATAGCTGAACTCCATTGAGAACTTCAGTATCGGTAGCTTCATCAACATATTCATGTGTGGGATTCTCTGTTCAACGATCAATGATTTTTCATTATGATTAGTCTGAGAAACTCACCACACTTTTGAAGTATTTCCTGTAGAGCCATTTTTCCCCCTACATATTACTGTGAATACTTTATTTTCGCTGGAATTAATTTTTGATGAAAAGGCGTTTTGGGCATTTTGTATGGAATTTATTTTCACTAATTTTTGATGAGTTTAATGTGAAATATAGGATAAAAAGTGTATTCGCTGGATTTTATTTTCACAGAATCATTCCTTCAGCAAAAATAGCGAAAATAAAGTATTCTACAGTACAATAATTTAACTTGTGTATAATCGTGTACATGCTAACTTGGAACATCAAAGATTAATTGTAATTAGTGCACTCTCAAAGCAGGATTTGGACAGCTATGCATGACAACTATGGTATGCCATCAACTGTGTGTTTCAGTACAATAAACATCTCAGATGTCTATGACAGGGTCAATATTTCAGCATGGAAATTTGTCTGCCCTCTAGAGTCCATTTCATGAAAATCTGATCACTTGTTTGTTTGTTATTTCCAGGCTATGAAGTCTTATGGGAAAGAACCATTTCCTAAAATGTATGTAGATGGAAAAGAAGAAAACCAGGTAAGAATAATGAGAAAGATAATGCATTTTGTCTGTTGTAGAGTACACAATGGTATTGCTTGGTAGACATTTTAAATTTACTGGTTCCAGAATTTCATCCTAAATTTTACTGAAATAAATGTATGCTACTTGACTGTATGTCATATTCTGAGAAATTACTGCTGTTTTTTTAACTGTATATGAATGTGTACTGTAAAATATTTGAGCTGGAATTAATTTTTGCTGAAAAGGATTTTTGGGTGTTTTGTATGTAATTCATTTTCCCTGATTTTTGACAAGTTGAATGTAAAATATAGAAAAAAAGATATATTTGCTGGATTTTATTTTCACTGAATCATCCCTTCAGCGAAAATAGCGAATGTTAATTCCAAGCGAAAACAAAGTATTTTACAATATTTTAACTTGAACCCTATTATTGCTCTGATTTCCACAATTCACTACAGAAGGCTTGCTGTGGTTTCGCTTGTTGTCAGTTTATGCAAAAATTATTTTTGAGCTTTATGGTTTGTGAAACCATACTATTAATTTATGGACTGAACTGTGATAGTGTCATAAATATATAACATTGAATGGTGTCTGACTTCCTCCGGAGATGTGAACAAGTTTTTGAAAATCCACTTTATTATTTCATTGTGAGGGATTATGTTTCTATAGCAACGACAGCAAGTTTATTTTCTAAATATTCAGTCCTCTGTCATCTGAGCTGAAGTTATGTAAGCATGTTTTAACAGAGCATCTACACTTGTACATTTATTAGCCCAAGTCTTGACTGATAATATTATTTTTGTAAAATACCCAGTGATATTACACTGCAAATTTCATAAAACTCTCAGATATTGCAACGCATTGAAATCCTATCAGTGGTAACATTGGGTTGTTCAAATGCTGAGTAGCTAGGATCACCTTTGTAAAACATGTTCCTGTATAAGTTATGTTGCAATGATATTTGTTGCTGTCATTTCTGTCTTGTTTTATTTCAGAGGTGGGAGGAGCTATCATTAGCCCAGAGAAAGAAAATTACCAAGATGTGGTCCAAAGAACAACGGAAACTTGTTGAAAAAGAGAAAAAAGAGGTAATATACAATGTATATGACAAGATTCAATTGCTGGGCAAGATGATCTTGTTAATCGGTGTAGTGGTTATTGTTGCAAGGTCTCTCTATCTAGGGCTAAACACTATAAAGTGAGCAATCCATACTCTAGGTGTGTATGCTACAGACTTAATAGAGTGAATAAATCCATTGGCTGTGAGTCATTCACTAATTCACTGACCAGGATACTGAATTGAATACAGCTCTGTCATATACGTGTACTAGCTTCAGGTTTATTCCAAATATATTGATTCTGTATTTATTCATATTGCCTTTGAAACTTTACTCTTGGTAAAATATAGAAACACACACAAAAGTTGTTACAAAATGTAACTAGTCCTTGTTAGACGCAGTCCGAAAACGGGGACCTCTGTGTGTGCGTACAAGCATGCTGTATCTCAGGCACCCCTTGTCTGATCACATTCAAATTTTACAAATATATCACATACTGTTGTATCTTTGGCAACATAAACACATCCATTTGTTTCATGAGCTGATTCAAGATGGCCGATTGGCAGCCATTTAATGTTAAAAATTAATTAAAATCAAGCATTTCTGCCATTCCACAAACAAACTTTGAACATCTATTGGACATTATGCGAACTTGATGCGCATCATTTTGTTTTTCAGACAGGATTCAAAATGGCCAACTGGCAGGCATTTTGTTTTAACAAATGCAGTTCTGAATTCATATCTTTGACATGTTCCAACCATTCATATCCAACTATATTATGATAAACAAAACTAATATCTTAAACTCAGTAACTAACGGGACTATGTAATGTAATTAATTGACTATGTTAGTATCATTTTGGTATCTCTGTGTTAAAATTTTAAATAATGTATTATACGTGTGCATTGTATTCATGGCATGGAACCCATATTGATTACTGTGTAATTATGTTCTGTGTTTTAATACCCATGCAGGCAGAAGACCTGAAACGAAGAGAAGAGAATCTTCTTAAAGCTAAAGAGATCGTCATAAAAGAGAATCCAGATTTACCTGCTCCAAAATTGGTTAGTCACTGCCAAGCTACTTACAAGATTGTGTCTGATTGGCTAATCAGAGAGCAGCTTGTTTTTTAAATGTATCAAATTCTGCCTTGCATTTATGCTTTGACTCAACTGAGTCTGACACTCAAGAGCCATCAATATTCCCAATCAATTGCTGGTATGAAAATTAGGAAGCAGTTGATCAAGCAGTATTACAGCCATGTCTTACATTATTATCAGAACTGGCTTTGTTCATTCTAAAGCTGATACTAGAATTGTGGTGTGAGAGTTGGGTTACGGAAAATATTAAAAACGTGAAACTACAACAGTCATGTAACTGACACAATGTATTGTCTTGTTGTCAGATTAAAATTGCATTATGTGAAAAGAACCGAGGAGATACAAGAGTGAAAGTTTTAGGATGGGTACATCGTCTAAGAAGACAAGGTAAGTCTCGCACTGAAATTTTCCTGTGTCACAATGCTTAAAATTATTCTCAATCCTTTGTGATTTGTGCTTAAAACCTGAGATTGCTATCCATACATTTTACCTGTGTATATATGGAAACCATGCTGTTCTTGAAATACTCCAAAAGCATAAATTACCACTGGAATTTAATTTCACTATTTTGATGTTTTGAGCATATTAATAAATTTAACTTTGATTTGCCTGTGAATAAAATGTGCTCCATTTTAATTTACACTTTGTGAATATTCTCAAAATATACAGGTACCAATAAAAATTCATGCTTTTTGAGTATTATTTTTTTCATTTTAATGGGTTTTTAACTTGACATTTGAAACTGTTTTCTGTGATTTTGTAGGAAAAGCATTGATGTTTATTATTTTACGTGACGGTACAGGATATCTTCAGTGTGTGTGTTCAGATTTATTAGTAAGTTGAAACATTTATATTATTGTCTTCCCAGCATTTTGACAATTTTAAGCCTATATGATGATTGGAATAACAAATATGTGATTGACATACAATACTGAATATTGTCAGTGTTGATGACATTTCACATTACTATGTGATTGACATACAATACTGAATATTGTCAGTGTTGATGACATTTCACATTACTATGTGATTGACATACAATACTGAATATTGTCAGTGTTGATGACATTTCACATTACTATGTGTACCATTTTCAATCAACTTTTGGTCTATAATGGTTGAAATGATAATTGTGTAAACATAACACTTATTCGTGTTTGTTGTGTTATCACATTAATGGTGTTTGCAGTGTAAGACGTGGATCCAATATTAAAATTAAAGCTGTGTAATCGGATATATTTTGTTCGGTAGTACGTGGTATATAGAGTACCGTAGTATGTGCCTTATATCAAATGCAACAATT